ATTCATGTGTATTTTCTACATCCACCCTATTATATCACCTAAGGTGTTGAAAGTCAATACCAGAATTTTTTAGCAAAGAAAAACCCCGTAAAATTTCTCTTACGGGGTTATCTATTTTTCTGATTGTTTAGGTCTTTGAGCTTCTAGCATTTTATACCGGGCGGAATCCATAACAGATATCCATTCCAGCAAGTACTTACGATCTTCTTTTGGTACTTCTAAAATATCTAAAATATCTCCTAAGCCAGTATAACTTTTACCGAGATAGATACCGTTCATAGTATCCCAATCATCTCGTAACTTATAGTATATATTAATGGCTTCTTGAACCTCTTCGGGGAAGTCATCCGCTTCAATAGGGATTTCTTCTTCTAGGGGTTCAGTTCCAAGAGCTTCGCACATTTCAAAATAAGATTCCTTGGTCATTTTTGCAGACATATTCTGAAAAAATGATTCAAGCATCCTATTTATTTCTTGTCGTTGCTCGTTTGAAAGTTTCCCAAATCTGTTACAGTCTCAGAAATAAAAGCATCAAAATTAGCAGAGTTTTTCATCAAGAACAATGCATTTTCTTCTGAATATTCTAGTTCTGCTTCTGGGTCTTGTCCTGTTAAGTCAACTGGAGCTAACTGCTCTAGGTGGGACAATTTTAAACCACTCCAACCTTTTACGGATTCTTTAACATAAAGTTGCAAGAATAAGTCGTCATTTAGTTCTTCAACAGGTTGACGATTTTTAAAAGATGTTTTAGTTGCTTTCTTACGAATACCAACAAGGGTTTCACGTGATAAAAAGCTAACTGATACTTTGAAGCCAATTAAACCAGGGTAGTCTACTTCAACAGTTTTTGAAGGTACTAGTAAAGTTTTTAGGGAAATATTTGCCATTTGGATTTTTTATCCTATTATATAATAAAAAGTAGGGGTGGTGATCAAGCCACCCCTTGTGTAAAAACTACACTAATTAAGCGTAGTAACGAATTGCGATATCGTTTGTATCTTCTAGATCAAACACGTTAGCGTTAGCTGTAGTACTTGGTGTATAACCCTGAGCTGTGAAGTTAATAGCTGTAGAAACAACTTGCTGAACGTCAACAGAAGGGATAGTGATTGTAGAAGCAGGCATGTCAAGAACAATCTTAACTGTGTTTGCTCCACCACCAATAGCAATCTGTAGAGCAACCATTGGTTCAATTGTAGTTGCAGAAGCAGCTAACATATCAGCTAATAGTTGGCCTGTGCTACCTGCACCAGCGCCTGTCTTCAAGTAGGCGTTTAAAGTACCGCTAATAGCGCGTGTACCTGTGTAGTATGTAACTGGAACGTTAACAACACCTAGGTTAGCTGGAGTAATATAGCTAATATTGTTGTTGATAGTAATAGAACCACCGGTTAGTGCAACTGCGTATGTAGTGCCAGCTGTTGCGGCGCCAATAGCGTTAACTAAGCTCATTGAAACTGTAGATAGCTTGTTGGTAATATAACCAGCGCTAGTGTTCTTGGCACCAGCTGTACCTGCAAAACCAGCACCAGTAAAAGTAGAACCAGTTAAGCTAGTAGTGATTTGACGTAGTTGTGTAGCTTGACCAGTCCATGCTAGTGTAGCGATCGCATCTAAACCGAAGTCGATACTTACTTGACCAAGAGCAGCGTTGTCAACAGCATAAGCAACTGAGTCAACAACGAAAATCATACCAAACTTTTGTAGTTGGTTAGCATTTGATTGAGCAGCTGTAGCAACAGAGAAACCTGTATTAACTGGAGCCCATGCGCTCTTGTAGAACTTGATGCTAGCTGGAGTTGTGATTGTAGTTGCTGTAGTAGTTGGGTTAGTATACTCTAGAGTAATACTTGTACCACTGATTGTTTTAACTACTGCTGGAGCATTGATTGCTGTAATGCTTGTTGCTGGAGTTGTTGTAGAAATGCTACCAACGGTAACAATATCACCAACTGCAACGCCTACGGCTGTTAAGCTAGTACCTGCGATGGTAAGTGTACCAACACCATTACTGAATGCATATGTAGCGCCACTAATAGTACCGCCGATTGTAACAGCAGCTGTACCTTGACTAGTTGTACCTAACAAGGCGTTCCATAATACTGATTCTTCTGCAGTAACTGCTGTGCCTGAATTATAAGGACGAGCATAAGTACTGAAACTGAAATCTACTGGAGCTAAGCTAGTATTAAAACTACGCTGTCCACGAACTGGAGCACCGCCGGCTTCAGAAATCGTTACAGTATCTTGGTTTGTGTTTTGTGAGAATGTGAAGCCATCTAAAACTTGGATTTCAAATGTGTTCGTTGCGTCAGCTCCGGTTGCATTGATTACACCGGTAGTTGCGTTAACGTTTGTAGTAAAGAAGACTCTACTATTACGTACTAAATTTAATGCCATAATCTTTCCTTTATGATTATTTAGTAGTATACTAATATACTTGCTAGATATTTATCTGCGTTATACTTATATCTACTAGGGGTTACATAAGTGCATATCGCACCTGTATTGTCATTTCTCCGATTGCATATGGCGCTAAAAGCCCCTCATCGGTGATGATCGAAGTCACTAGAATTTCTGTAGTTTCATAGTTATTGTCTGCATCGTATTGTAACACACGGTTGTCATGAATAACTTGCTCTACATCTTCCAGTAAATTTTCCAATTGTTGTTGCGAATCTTCTTGCTTACAATAAAGTTTTAATGTAATATTTAGATACGCCCAGGTAAAATCACCTGGAAGATATTCGCGCATCTCAGAACCTGCTACAGTATAGACACACGGGAAATCATTTACTTCATCCCAAAACTTTAATACTGGATAAGCATTATTAAAGATATTAGTTTTAAAGTTTCCGGTTCCGTCGATTTGTTTTAACTTTTCGGTGAGAGCTTTAATTATTGATGTTCTGCGGCTCATACGGACACTGCCCTTAGTTTGTTTGCTGCTTTTTCAGCGGCGATTTCTCGAATTGATCTTGCAATCAACAGCTTAGGGTCTCTTGATTTAGGAATACTTTGTTTTCCGCCTTCGGAGAATGTTGCGTAAGGATTCTTCATAAAAGAATAAAATGCAGTTATCAATCCTTGACGACTCTTGGACATTTTTTCAACTTTAGCAGAAGCTGCTAACCTGCCTGTACGATAATTTAGAATATCTCGTCTACTGCCGTCGCCCATGTTTGCGGAAATAATGTCTTGCAGATGCCTGTTAATAAGAATCTGCAGGCTGCTTAATGATACTGTGCTTGAAGCCGTTGCTGGCTTTTTACTAGTAGGTTTAGCAGGTATTTTACCAGTACTTGGGGTACTTACTTTTGTAGTACCTTTTGGTTTAGCTGGTACAATATTAAATTTGCCAAGATCTTTCTTGGGTTTTGCTTTGGGCAACTTAGTGCCCTTGAGTGCACTACTAATTCTATGTATAGACTCTTCTATTACGTTTCTAGAAAAGTTTACACTTAGTAATGCTTTTGTAACTTGGTCATCAATAATACCTTCGATTTTATTGCCGTAAAAATATCTGTTTTCCAAGGCATCTTGGGGTATTACCAGAACTGCTTTGACTTTAATTAAAAAGTCTGATACATCTTTTTCTAAGTAGCCAGTTACTTTGCTACCATAGCTAGATCTCTCATATAAGGAGTTTCTAGCGTCAGCTACTTCTTTGGTAATAGCTTGTATCTTCTTTTGCTGTTCACCGGTTGTAGTACCAACTAATGTGTCTAGTACTGTTTCTAATCTGTTTAATTTTTCTAATAGCGGTGAAACTAAATAAGGTGCATCACCTGCTAAGTGTCCTACGTCATATCCTTTTGCAATATCACTTTCGGCTACACTAACTCCAGATTCTTTTTGAATCGCTTTTTCTTGTCTACGCTGTTCATAGTGACTGTCTTTTAAGTACTTAACTAACGTAGTTCTGATAAATGTTTTGAATAAGTTGTTGTATGTTTTTTGATAAGAGCCGTATAATACACCAGCTAATTTATTGTTAGCGGTATAAACTAATGCCGGTAATCTTGTTTCTGGGTTAGTAATTACTTCTTCCCAGCTACTTGTGTCGCCCATAATTATAGGCGGCTTTTTGTGTCGACTTACAACAAACTCTTCAAGTTCAGCAACTATTTCCTCAACTGAAGCTACATATCCTGGGTCATTTTCCAGCATATCTTCTGTTCTTAAATAGTTGCCAAGTACCATTCTGTAAATATTTACATCAACAGGTACAAAGTGAACTCTAACGTCTAATACATCTGAACGTACAGAAGAACTAAACGCAGTTTCTAATGTTTTTCTTACTGTATTAACGCTTGTCATAATTACCCGTAATATGCAGTATATTGATCTAACACACGCTTAATATGTGCGGGTAGATTTGTATTGGTAATATATTCAATTTGAACCGTATTAGCGCCAACAGCTTTTTGTGAATGAATTGCTGAGTCGTTACGTATATAGTACTGAATCAAATCAGCCATTGCTAATTTTAAGTCTGATGGAACTGCTTCATATCCGGCATTGTATGTAATGCGGAAAGCATTTGTTTTGAAGTAGTCTATGTATTGAGAAGCAATCAACTCAACTGAGTCAGCTTCTGGAACTACTACGTAATCATCATATTCTGTTAATGTTGTGTAAGTTTTACCGAAGTCGTCGGAAAACTCTACAGTACCTACTTGCATTATTGGAGTTTCTGTAAGTAGCATACGATTACCGTGTGCACCACCTCTAAAAGTTTCAATCTTAGGCTCGTCAACAAAGTCCAAGAATGTTCTGCGGCAGATATTTTTTACCAAGGCACTTACTTGTGGGATCAGCAACTTAACTGCAGCATCCTGATTTGTGCTTGAAATTCCAACATATGTTTTGTATTCTGCGAGCGTAATTAAGTCTAATGCCATAGAATATCCTTTATGTCTTTTATAAGAACACATAATGCTCTTATAAAAGACAAGGAACCGAAGTTCCTTGTCTGAGAGAGTACGTTAATCCGTAGATTAAGCTGTAGCGCCCCACTTGAAAGCGCTAACGCCGTTACCAAGGTTAGTAGTAACTTGAGTCATACCAGTGCGTAGAGACGCAACTAGAACACGACGCTGAGTTTCAACTAATTCTTGTGTATCCATACGTAGACCACGCTGATTACCTGCCATGAAGTTACCTGGAGCAAAAGCGATGGCACCAGTTTGGTTAACACCCTTAGAAGCGAATTCTGCGGATACTAGAACTGGGCTGTTACCGATTTGACCAACTTGGCCAGTTAGTAATGTAGCCTGTGGACCAACTTGGTTCATAGTCTGGAATGTGCTGTCATCTAGTAAGTCGTAGTAAACTTCTGTGGAAACAACATAAACAACTTCTGCTGGGTCTAGACCCCATGCACCTAGGTTACGACGTAGGCTGCGTAGGTTAGCGATACTAGCAGCTGTAGCAGCTACTGAACCTGTAGATGTTGTGTTAACTGTAGCGTAGTTAGCTAAGCCCTTAACTGGGTCAGCACCAGAACCAGCACCTAGTAGATAAGCGCGGTCAACACTACGTGCTAAACGACGAATCATTGCATCGCGAACGATAGGCATAATAACCAATAGGCTATCTTCTTCTTCTTCGTAGTTTAGATATTCTTTAGTAGCTACTTTATACGCATTTAGAGTGATCTCTTTGATAGCGTGTGGGCTGCCAGAACCTGGAGTTTGACCAGTAGTAGCAGTTGTACCGCCAGCACTGTTAGCACTACCGAAGTCAGCGTTAACAACCCAAGATGCTAAACCAGCTTCTGGGTTTAGAGGCATAGTCATAACGTTAGTTTTCATGTTAACTGCGCGAACTAGCGGAGCAACAACTAAACGACGACGAACTTCAGCTTCCATGTTTGTAGAAACTTCTAGTTCCCATGTAGCGCTTGGTAGGTGTTGACCTGTTTTTTCGATCATTTCACGACCGAACTTAGTGTCAGCAATAGACTTACCAGCAATCTTAGCTAGCATAACTGCTTTTTCGCGTTCTGCGTACTCAGAACCACCAGCAGCTTGTTTGTCAGCGAAAGACATTTTGCTGGCTTGAATCTTAGCGATTTCGTCAGCTTTTTCTTTTAATGAAGCTTGTAGGCCGTCTAGAACGCTCTTTTGTTCAGCAGCTTGGTCTTCAAAACGCTTAGTGACTTCAGCTAGTAGCTTTTCAGCACCGCTTTGGCCAACGGAAATTTGAGCAGCAACTGCGCTCTTAACTTGTGCTTCTAGCTCAGCTTGAGCCTTGGCTTTAGCATCTTGAGCAGCTTTTTCAGCAGCTTGAGTTGCTAGTAATTTTTGGGTAGCTTCTTCGGCAGCCTTAGCAGCGGCGTCAGCAAGCATTTTTTGCATTTCTTCTGGAGTCATGTCCAATTCCTTTGTTGTTGTGCTCTTTGCTTCCGTGTTGGATTCTAGCCCTTTAGCTGAGTCGCCTTTGGGTGCAAATTGCTGTTTAAACTGTTTATAGTCCGAGTCATTTTCAAATGCTTTGGACAGATCGAATAGAGTATTTTGATTGCAAGGCACAGAAACTACCGAAATCTCGACAAGTTCAAGTTCCTTAATAACAAATACCTCTGCAGCACTATTGTATTCTGCATCTAAGATACGGAAGCCAATACTGAACGCTGTTAAAATTTTGTCTTTGATAAGACCAAATACTTCTTCAGCAGCTGAAGAAATACGGGCTTTTACCCATAGTCCCTTATCATCCACTTTATATTCCGTCATGCGTCCGATAGGATCATCGTAGTCATGCTGTGCTAAAATAATTGGATTTTTAAGGTAATTCTGAATACCTTTCTCCCATACGGACTTTGGCACAACGTCACCGCTTCTGTCAATATCAACGGTACTTGCGTAACCTTCGATAAACACAGATTCAATGTCGCTGCTTCCGCTGGCAGGTAAGGCTTTTTCATTCACGGCAAAAGCACTATTTAATCGTAGTACTTTGTTTTTATCTACCATGTAGTTTCCTTACTTATGTCGCGCTTTTGCCGCCGGTGGGTTCCTTAGGCTTAGGAGGCGCTCCTCCTTGACTTGGATTCGCCGCAGAGCCAGCAATATTAGCTGGGATTCTCAAATCGTCGTTTCCGGGTTTGGTTTCATAACGTAGTTCTTGACGAGCTTCGTTAGGACTAATAATACCTGCATTTACAAGTGTTGAGTGGTAAGATGCAACATCCTTTAAGTCAGGCTGTAGCGCACTTACTGAACTAGTAATAGGCTCAATGTCGTATCCGTAGAATCGCTCTACGGCACTTGTGAATTTTGTTAGAATCGGCATA